ATAGAATACTTCCGAGACCACACTGTTTTTCCTCATCACAATTATGTAGAAATAGTGGTGAGCTACAGTTTTTACACTGTTTTAACTGGTCGGCGAGATATCCAAGCTCAAACGTTACCACCCTACCTCCCTGACGCAAGTCAAGTTCCCTATTTTCATTTTGAAGATAGTCTTCATGACTATATTCATATTAATTTTCAAAATTCTGTAGCATTTCTTCATCTTCAATTTTAGCAAACAAGTTCATTCTCCTAGAAGTAACATACTTTCCATCAAATTTAACGTTGTATCGTCAGAAAGTAACCAATTGCAAAATTGCTAAATCTGGTCAATGGGACGTAACTCGTACAAAACGTCGCAACATTTCGCGGAATCCGCTAGATGGCGTTCATTTACTGTAACTTGACCTTAACACATTTCAATTAATGTAACCTTCTACCCTCGACGAATATTCTTACCCTTTGTCGATGCTATTTTTCGATTGTTTTGCATGTGTAACATTAATAAAAAAAAATGTTTATATTAAGATTAATCTATTTATCAGCAAATACTTTTCAATTTAAATCCTTAAGTTTTTATGGTATTTGTTCTCAGGTAACATATATAAGTATATTAAACCATAATTGATAAACAAAACAAATGTTTAGATTTCATGAAAAAATAAAAGGTGAAATACGTTTTGTTTTCATTCAAATTACAACATATGCATTGTTCAATGGCATGAAAAGTGAAAACAAATTTTGTTTATTCATGGTAGGTATTAAATGGCTTGAGCTATGAATGATGGTCCGTTTTGAAGAGAGTACTAAAACGAAATAGCAAAGAAATTCTGATAAAAAGTTTCCTCAACCGCACTGTGTGTCACACACTTGCATAATGTTAACGTTGATCGCCGAACCGTGGATAGGACAATAAGCTTTGAAATTAAGAAAATGAATAGAAATAAGTCTTCAGTGACATAGTTGGCATTAAATTCGCGTTGATTGTCTCATGACAAAATTGTTAAATAGAAAAGGTCTAACTGATTTCTTATTTGATATTTCTAGGGCTGAAACTGAAACAAGTTCAAATATAAAGTTTTTTTTACAAGCGTTCTTTAAAGCATTTCCAAACATGATGCACTTACTGTCGATAGTAAATGAGAAACTAACAAAGAAAAAACTACTCGCGGATCATTGTACTATAAAGACAGGTTATTGTCAGATGACTCCTCACGGACGAAAAAGGTATTGTATGATTGTTTATACACCATCTATCTATTACGCGAAATGTTTTTATAACGCTCACTATATGTTCTTTGTTATAACCCACAATCATCTGGTAAAAATAAATGTGTATACGCAAAACACAATTCAAGTCTCGTCGAAGTCAATGATACATATATTAGCAGGAAAACAGTTACAACTACTGGTAGGGTAGATGCTTGAGACTGCGGAAAGACCGATTGATTTGACCAGTTCAACCTTGACCTTGAATGTTTTTTTCTTTTGTTTATCCTGCTCATTAAATTATTGTCTTAACCATTCATTGAAAGACGATATTTTGGCAGGAGGATAGTTGCTATATCTTGTATCGTTCTTTGTTTTTTCATCATTTTGCCTTTCGCCTATGAAAGCAAGATAGTTGCAGACCTTACTTTGAAATTGTAATCAACGAAATCATCCAAATTCTATCCCCACCCTTATCCAAACCAATGTATCGATGTTAGAATAACATCAAATGTGTATGACTAATCTGAGCAGTAATAAGACAACCAACTTTTACATATCTAACGAAATAACCTATAACAAAACACTAAAACATGATACCGCGTTACATTTGTAAAAGTGTTCAGAAGTATCTAACTAAAGGCTAAAAGTAACTCCTTGATCTTATTTTCTAGTATTTAAGTTATATCAAGCGGAACACCGCCGAATAATTTTCTGTGAAAATAAGATAAACAGTATTTTTTTACGAAAAATGAACGGCATTACCGAATTTAGATATTTTGAAGATGACGGAGCACCGTGAGATAGCATTACATGTCTATTAACATATGCAGGTATTATACTAGTGCCAGTTGAAACATAAATCCAGATATCAACAGGCAAACATTAGAATAAAAAATACATGAACTTCAAGAGAAGTGAGACCATGAATATCAGCAGGGTAAACATATCTTCAAAATCTTTGAGACGGATATGTTCCAATTCTCGTAACGAAAATCCCGTCCTCTTTTCCTCGAATGTGACATTACTCAAATGAGACTTGTCGCCGAATTTGTATTTACATGGGCAATACGACGGATCCCACATGTGGATCGGGATCTGCTTACCCTGTCGTAGCATCTTAGATAACCCTTGGTCAGTTTTTGTAGGGTTCGTTTTGTTCAGTCTTGTTTTTCTATGTTGTGTTTTGTAGACTGTTGTTTGTCTTTAATTTTCGTTGTTAGTTTATCTTCGACATATAAGTTAGAATATCCCTATGATATCTTCCATCCCTGTTTCAAAAGCATGCTTCACCTGCCATGCCATTCCACATTTTATACCTATGGTCATTATCGATTTGTTTTTAGGAATGAATTGCAAATATGTCGACTTGGTAAGATCTTAATGAACTGTTAAACAAGAAGTCAACTGTGTTACTCACTGACGAAATGTCGACAGGATACAGAGTCTAATAATTGACACTAGAGAAGGACAGCAAACAGATATACCCAGATTTAGACAATATGTGAAAGACAGAGGGTTTCAGCTTGTAACTTGTGCCGTTTTTGGTTTAGAGAACGAGCTGTGTGTTCCAACGGAAGACGTTAAAATTCTACACGTTTCGGCTTTGTTTACTTTTGAAACTTTAATTTTAATTAGCATTAGCAGTGCAATATTCAGAATTTTGTTTCCTATACGTGTTTTTGTTTTTACTTACTGTCATCGCATCTTATATGGTTTATAATAGTTGGTCAAAGAAAAGTTGTATCCTACTCTGGTGCTTTTAGTTATGTTATCATAAAAAAAAGAATATGCATGTGGTATGATTGCCAATGAGACAAATCTCCACCAGAGACCAAATGACGTTGAAGTTAGCAACTATAGGCCTTCTACAATGATTTTTTATTCATTCTGCACCTCTTGCTAGCTTATTTTTTATACCTTTCTTTCGTTATTTTTCTCAGGAATGTGAGAGGCCAGGCCTGCTTGCACACTGGCGTCGTGTTGTGACAGTCGAAAATATGTTCAAGACTTTAAAGCTAGTTCATGAAGGAACTCGGTCTCATACAGGGTATCATAAATTATTCAAAGATGTTGAAGATACTTTTTACGGCGTCCCGAGAAGCCTTTGTAAGAAATTTATTAAAGGATGTGTAAAATATGCTTGTAAGAAACTTTAAAATAACATAGCACTATTAAAACCGATTTCATCCAAACATTGTATGCATAGGGGTCAGTTGGATTTAGTTGACAGGCGTGCAGACCCTGACGGTACATTTTGCTGGATGTTACCATCATTATTTCTTTTTTTTTTTTAGATAATGTTTATTGTAATATATTAACGTTTATAATGCATATTTGCAACATACCTATATGGTCCAAATACTCATACGGTCCGGCCCGTTTATAACCAAACGAGTATACGTATGGTCGGACCATATGAGTATACGCATATGGTCATGACCATACATGTACACGTATGGTCCAAATATTCATATGGTCCGGAACATCAGTTATTTAAATTTTAAAACATTTGGGTTATTACATATATTCAAAGCTAAACATTTAGCTCTTTGTTGAAAAAGGTACATTTGAATAAGTAATGAAACTCATCACCAAGTTCATTAGCATTACAGAGATTACAATGTCTTGCAGTTCTATCAATATTAAAAAATCTGCCAGTTTCAATGGGCAATTTATTACTAATGCAGCGGAACTTACATAAATACATTCTTAGATCAGATGGTAACACTAAAAAATATTTCTCAAAACAAAATCAGATTTTATTCTATAAATAAAGGCAACAGTAGTATATCGCTGTTCAAAATTCATAAATCGATTGGGAAAAAAACAAATCCGGGTTACAAACTAAAACTGAGGGAAACACATCAAATATAAGAGGAGAACTACGACACAACAGAAACACAATATTAAAATGTAACACACACAGAAACGAACTATAATATAACAATGGCCATTTTCCTGACTCGGTACAGGACATTTTAAGAAAAAAATGGTGGGTTGAACCTGATTTTGAAACATTTTGCAGAATTCATAACATTATTACTCCAGTTCAGCATAAATTTGAGAATGTTTTCCTACTTAAAGATAATCGATTTTGAGCCTCGCTCCTTCACAAGCTATAAATGCATTACAATCCATACTAACGTTGAAATATAAAAATATAAATTAATTATATCGCCTATCCAAATGTCTTTAATTTGTTATTACAAATTTTGATAATATCTTTCTACAATGCAATGACATTATAACGAATTAAGTTATAAAAAAATGATTTTAAAAAATCGTGTTTACTTAATTTTATTATTGCGAAACTTGCGACGAAAAGGTGTCACGAAAAAAAAAAACCTTCATTTTAAAATTTTTGTAGCATTATTTGTATGCATCATTTACTTAAACCGCAATAATTTATCTCGTATTTTGTCCATTTTTTTTTAATCGCAAAAATGAATGCAAGCAATGATTTCCGAATTGCATTATCGGGTTTCCCTTTTGATTGTATTTTACAATTTTTTTTTTTATCAATTTAAGTATATAACTAATTCTAGTTCATGTGCTAATTCATTTCATATTAAATATTATTTGTTGTTTTGCTGAACGTTCAGTGACAAATATTTCATGTATAATTAAAATAAGTGTGATAAAAAATGGAAACCAAATTATCACTTATCTTTAAGTATAATGTGTACGTATCACACTTAATTGACATGATGTACTTTAAACATATTTGTATTTAAAAATAACCAATATTGATTATATTTTTATGAAAAGAATCGATTCATCATGTTCATGCTTCGTTTAAATGGCAAGGTCGTAGAACTAAACAACGATAGTAAACATCCGGTTAGAATATATACCTGTAGAATATTTTCCTACGAATATGTAAGTTGAATATCATTATTATCTTTCAATGTCGTTCAACTGTTTGTGTAAAATAAATGCTATTGATTCACCGTGCATGTCTATCATTTGTATGACAGAAATCGTATACGTCAATGTTATTTATATATAATTCAAAAATATGGTGCTTTACTACTATTTGTATTCGTTTCTGTAAGCTTTTTGTTTAATCACAGATTGCGAAATACAAATGTTGATAAAATCGCTTTGCAATGATTTCTTTTGATTTTTAAGAGTGCCTGGTTGAGCATCCAGTGACAAATATTATAGCCTAAGTTTAACACGGACTTCTTCATTTGATTGAAATAACAAACATCTGTAAAATTATTTCCGATTTGACCACGACGAATACTGTCTTTTTTGGTTGACGGTGGAAGGAGTAAACTTATTTTAGAGAAAACTGTCGTTTGTCAGGAATCTCAAACTTTAAAAAACAGACTGTTCGATGTTAAAAAGCATTTGCATTTCATGTACTCAAAAAAAAACATTCTTCAGTGCAGCTAGTACACACAGCTATGACTACAACGACCAAAAGTAAACAACACACAATACCAAGAAAATATGTAAACGATTGCGATAAACATGTTGAATGGGATTCAGTCCTCTTTATATATATTTTATAATATTACTCTCAACCTACTCATTTACGATTGGACATAGTTAACCTACAATGACATATTAGTTTCTGTTTAGTGCCTACCCCGACATAATCAGTTTAAAACAAAAAGTATATATCATACCCTAGAGTCGTTAAAGTGAAGGAATGTCCCTACAGCTGTGCAATATCACTAATAAAAATATACCTACTTGATTGCTAAATAAGCATAACATAAAAGACACGGGTTTGTAAGCATTCTGTCTCTATCTATCTCTAATAACAATTTTGATTAAAAAATGCTAGTCTGTACAGCTATAAAACGTTAATGCATTAGGACAGAGTAATCTAACTTAGAATTAAATGAAGAAATTGATGATTTTAAGGTAATAACCAAGCGATGGCTTAAGACAAAGTGGTTAGTGCTTATACAAAACTGGACATCAATATGATTGAACTGGTGTATTTTTTTATTTTATTTTTGGGGGTGCAAAGAAATCTATCTATTAAGGTATAAAACGAACTATCTACACTGTTCGATTAATAATGGGGACATTTGGTTATATTATAGTTTTTATTTAGAAATTGACATTATATTAATGATTTTTGGACCAACATTTGATAAGAAAAATGCAGCCTACTCGCCCTTTACCATTGTTTACACAGAAAGTACGGTCATGGTTTCGACATACTAATTAAGATAACTTAAACCAAGTTATTGCATCTGTTTGCACTTTTTTTAATAACCACCTTCGTTTACAAATAATTAATTTTAAACTATACAATTGACTGTAAATTACATTTTACTTTACATATAACCAGGGCCAGACTGAACAGTTACACTTGATCGAATACATTCATCAATTATAAAAAGCGTAGCAATTAACTTGAATATACATTAAGGGACTGGTCATTTGTAACCTAAAGGGGGGGGGGGGGGGGGTGGGGACTTGAAAATGTTTTGGAATGGAAAGGGGGTGTCCGATTTTCAATACTTCAGATGGGGGGCATCGAAATATTTTGACGACCCACACCAACATCTTCCCCATACAATAAAAAAATGTTTTGGCACGAAATACATCAATTTTTTTTCGCCTCATTCCGCTCGGCTCAATTTGTTAAAAATCAAATTTAAAGTTCTAAAATGATCTTCCAGGACTGTATTTATATCTAAAGTTGATTTACAAACTTTTTTAATAAAGGATATATATGAACAATGTGCTGAAATTGAATGAAAGTGTGCTAAATGTCAATAAGACCATAACAGGCATATTCCTTTTGCCCCTTCTGAAGGTGTGATAATATATCTCACAACCTGCTAGCTATGCCCGTGTCTGTAGATGGTTTTAGATTTAAAAGAACATAATTTATGTATGGCTGGTATGTTAAAAGCCACAAATTGATCAAAACCTTTACCAAATTCTTTCATAAATATAAAGTTTTGGTTAGAATACAAAGGGATATCCCATCCTAATTTTTACGGTGATGTTGTTTATAAAGCCCGTAGATTTAGACACATTGCATGTAAACTAATTGATCCTTTGAATAAACTTATTCTGTAATAAAAGGTATCAATTTAACACAGTAGTTTATTTATTGCAAATCTTAAAATATTGTTTAATAGGACTACTAACATACTTTTTGTTTTCTAACAATTAAAACATAACTGACTATATGTTGCTATATATCTACAGTTATAATAACTTAAAATATATATCCTGTAGATACTGTTTTATTTTGGCATTGCACAAGGTCTTGCGTTTATCAGACTGTTTATGACGTATTTACACTAAATCTGTTGGATGTGAACTGGTTGATTCTTTAGTATGGGAAAACATGAATTATCTATTAGCTGTAGTTAGCTCTGAACTAGCTTTCAGTAACTGCGAGTACTTTTTTTCGGTACTTTGTGTCTATTGTTTTTGTGCCTCTTACCGATCTTTTCAGTGGCAAATTGCAACTGATTTATACAGTTTGTTCTTATGTTGTCCTGTAATACTGCTGTCCCATGTTATGGGAGGGTTGAGCGCTCACAAACATGTTTAACCCTGCCCCATTCTATATGAACCTGTCCCAAGTCAGGAGCCTGTAGTACAGTGTTGTCTTTGGTTCAGGTTTGTCATACATGTATTTGTTTTTTGTAAATAGTTTTGTTTACAAATTAGGCCATTAGTTTTCTTGTTTGATTTGTTTAACATTTTACATGTCGGTCCTTTTATAGCCGACTATACAGTATAAGTTTTTCTCATTGTTGAAGGCAATACAGTGGCCTATAATTGATTTCTACTGAACCATTTCATCTTAACTCTGTTGAAGGCCGTACGGTGGCCTATAACTGCTTACTCCCACTTCATTTTAACTCTGTTAGATAACTGTCTCATTGGAAATCATACCACATCTCCTCATTTTTATATATATCAAAGTAAAGTTCCCTGAAGTCACAAAGAATTTCCCCCACTTTCAGCTCTAGATCCTCATCTGATGCAATATTTTATTGAACGATAATTATATAAATAGAAATTATATGCATGTATTTTTGTTATGAAGAATAAAAGTATTTCGAAATGTTTGGGAGGGGGTGGTTTTCATGTCTTTGGAAGGTGGGTCTTGAATTTATTTTCCTTCCTCAAGGTGGGGACTTGGAAAAAAATTAGAGAAATTCCAATGTTTCCACCATCACCAATGAAAGAAAATGACTAGTCCCTAATGTGCATGTTTTCACTTTCACCTTTTTCTTCAGTTAATTCATACATTATCCACAAACTTACAATGTGAGGCATAGAGAGTGAACAAGTAAATCCAGCTTTTTGAAGATTTGAAGTGGTACGTGGTCAGACAAAGATGGAACACAAGCGAATGAAAGCAAAACTTGCTATGGTAACTCATCTTCCTGCCGGAAATGACGTAATCATTAGCTACGATCCTGAAGACAGAAATTACGTCATTAAAATCAGAGGTAAAAGCCTTGGTTTATTCAATGTATTCAAGCTTCCTCTTCCTTGATTTTATGAATTGTCTTTCTTAGTAATTGGTATGCATGATTGCAACGGAAAAGTCACCAGTTTTGTAATTACTAGTGGCGTAAATTATGTCCTCAAATGAGATGAGTGTTTCCTGCCGAGGGTCGATGGTTGTGTCAGGCTTCCTCTGCCAATACAAAACGACCGTCATGATACAACCAAGAGTGCTGAACTACCAACAATCAATCAATCAATCAATCAATCAATCAATCAATCAATCAATCAATCAATCAAATAACATGAAATGTAAACAGTAGAATCTTAGTTACTAAATGTACGGGTTCTCTGTCTCATGAAGTCGGATAAAACATTTAAAACTTCATTAAATTAAGATTTATAAAGTTCTTGTATTGAAATATTATACATACGAAAACAGCTGATATTATGGTATACTAAATACATGTGTGAATAAATAAACAGAAAGTTCATACATGCAATGTATAAAGTTCAATTACGAAAAAGCAAATGAAGTGCCTTGTATATACGAATATAAAGCACAAAACCATTTCTTTCAATAATATTCCATTGTTGTCCTTAAAAGCGGGACAACTAGATTAACATATAGTTCACCAGAACATTCGTATTTTAAAATATACATGTATGATTTGTTTTTGTAAATCAGACAAACTGAAAGAAGCGGGAATTGCTGTCTGGGTGGAGACTTATGATTTGGGAGGAGGAGCAAACGTCTTCAGCAAGGTCGGTCAGGCTGTCGTGGATGCAAAGGTTGGTTTTGCTAAATGTTTTGAACATTGTTATTATTTCTAATGTTAAATCAGGGTTTGTTGCGATATAGAGAATCCGAATGAAAAGTGAAGTCTATCATGATCAACATATTAATTGCATGGATTTTCAAAGTCATGAATCAAAATAATTTTGGTAGCGAAATTTACAACTTACGAAAAAGAGCATGACTATATATAGAAACGGTCGACCACATGTAAGCTTATTGCAGCTATAGTTACTGTAAAATGGTTAATACTCAAACGTAATGCAGATAATATAATTAGTTACTATATATGAATGAGGTGTAAAGTCGAACTGCAGTACAATGTAGACTATAATTTTATTAAAACTCCAAACATATTTGCAGGTGTAACACATTCCTCTAATAAAAATATGTTTAGTTCAATACATTTTATAGAGAAAAAAAAACTTGAAATTTCTGAAGCTTCAGTTTGTCTCCCTGTTTTAGATATTTTTTTACCTGATCAGTACAGATTCTGTGAAATCAAAGTTATGCCAGGATCAACTGGCTCTCGCCTACGTCTCGAAGAAATCGATTCTCCCCGTAGCGATAGACGATGAAGATGATGTTTCCAAAATTATGGACAACGGCATGTAAGATAATACAGTCATCTATAAAGGGTTTTCTTTGCTACATGTATTAATATTATTCTAATTTGCATATAAAGACATAAATAGTAAACATTTTTTATAAGGATGTTCGCTACTCTGTTTCAAAATAACAAGCTTTTTAGAAGACTGTTATAAATTGATAGTATATAAATGAAGGAACTAAATAAGCTGAAAAAAATGAAGGGTTCGTGTGCTTGTTTTCGAGATGTAAGCCAGAATATTTGGCGGGAAATAATTCTCTCTAGATTTTTCATACATTTAACATTGGTATATTTTTGCTTTAAAAAACTGTGAAAAAATAACTAGGATTTTTTAACATTTTCAAGAATGACTTTTTTTACTTTAAAAAACTGAAAAAAATAACAAGGATTTTATAACATTTTCAGGAATGGCTTTTTTTTACTTATGTGTAATAAAATTATGAAAAGAAAAGTAGCTAGTGTTTAGTGGGCAAAATTTTTATTGGCACCACATGGATAAAACTAGAGGATTCCGAATATATGACAAACAGTCATAAACAAGAGTAGCGAACATCCTTAATAGATTAATACCCTACATAGCAACGACACTATTTGAATTTTTATACATATTTTTATATCATTTTGTTCATTTTATGTTAACTATAATAAATATTATAAGAGGGTGTGGATGGGGTTTACAGAATAGAGAATTATGGACAAAACTCTTAAGAATACACAAATCAACCCCAAAAAATAAAGAAAAGAGAATAATAAGGTGCTTAAATATAAAGAATATAGAACAATGTGCAAACAGTTTAAAGAGTAGAAAAAATGGCCTAAAAAATTAAAGAATGCAGAAATGAAGGACCCCCCCCCTCCTAATCCAAACCCTCTCATTAGGGAAGTGCAGTGTTATCGGATCAGTTATGATACTTAAATACACTTGTTTTAAGGGTTTTCCCCATGCCGTTTGCTATACTTAAGTTTATTCTAGTGATAAAAGAGCTATACTTTCAGGCGATTGCAGCTTGCTGGTTTTGAATGGTCGTTCTTAGATCGTGAAATAATTGAGGATGGCTTACCTAGCTTGGTTGCTCGTATTAAAGATATGTTAGCGGACTATGATTCATCAAATCGAGGTAGTTAAGTTATATGTTGATACTGTACTTATTTCCAATGACAAAAGTTGATTTCAGATGATTTTTTGGGGTCTGCGGGTTGGAACACCCTTTTTTAACGATCAATGCTTTCATAAAACTAGAAACCATTCTAATTTTTAAAAAAATCGTTTGTTATAAGATATTTGAAATTTTCCATATTAAACATTTATCAATACCATATTGTTTTCTAATTATGACATCTAAACAGTCGATTTCAAATTCTTTGAAAAATTGAATGCAACAATGTTAAACTATATATCCCGTATTCATCATCAAGATGTTTCTATCATATGAGAAAATTAATTTGTTATGTTGCAAATTCAAGATAGATGATGATAGACTGTTTGGAAATATCAGAAGGTTAAGTTAAGTCAAATCAATTTTGATTTCTTTTTTTTTATTTTTGTAGACGAAGAAACGAAAAAGAAAACCGAAGAAAAGAAAAGGTATCTGAGATCCGCAAAATCAAGGTCAAGGATAAAAGCATCCAGAATCCATCTGCAAGATGGAAAGGCATATTGGACCAATACATTCGGAGTAGTTGCAAACATGTCCTGGGAAAGGTGAATTCTGACAATATAACCTATTTTAACATTTTACATATCGGTAATATCTTCATGTGAACTTGTACTTGCTGTTTTTTTACAATGTTCTTCGTTTTAACTTGTTTAAGTTCCATTTTTTGTTTTTATAGAGTAAGGACGGGTTTTTACTGAAGCGTATAAGCGCCACACATTTTTTGATATTTCTACACAGGCAAATTTCATCTCATGTGAAACTAGCGTGAATTTCACGTGAAAAATCACATGAATTTTTTTCACCTGAAATTCACGTGAAGTTTAAAAACAAAGTAATTCAAATAACATCTAAATTTTCAAATTTAATTAAAATCATGAAAAATACCATGTTTTTTTTTGTAAAGTTCACGTGCAATTCATGTGAGATTCATGTGAATCTCAATTCACGTGAATATCACATGAAAATTTTACCTGAGTTACACGTATAAGCTCGTTTGATGTGAATCTCACGTTAAATTTATCACGTGAATTTCATTTAAGAATTGAATGCTTCTTTTTGTAAATTCATTGGGGTGTAAAAGCTATGACCGTTCGAAGTACATTTTGTATGAAGCGCGGAAGCGCTTCATTCTAAAAATGTGCGCACGGTCAACGCTTTTACACCCCTATAAAATTACTAAAAGAAGCATTCAATACTTATAATTACATTTTTTTGCTAGGATCATGAAAATACGATTTCTTTCAAGTTTTTTCTTTTATTTACCTGTGCACTTTATTGCGGAAGCTCGTGTCATCATGAATGTTACATTTCATTTTGAAATGAAGGTTAATTTTAGAATGACGCGAGATTGCTGTTAGCCAATCAAAATAACGTATTATAATGAAACATACATGTAATGTAATTATATGAGATTCATGTGAAATTCACGTGAGCAAATGTTGCCTGTGTAGCAAAGGTTTCCGTAATAACGCAAACATCGGAAGAAATATAAAAAGGTGTGTGTGGTGCTAATACGATTACGTAGTTTTCTAGTAACTACATGTTATCTTATTTTTTTCTAAAAATGTCCATTATCACCTGCCAGTTGAGATTTATAATCAAGCATTCAATACGACAATTGTAGTCATAATTGTTCAATGATTTAAAAAATAGATGTTTAATTATTTGGTAGATTCAAAGCGAAACTGGTAGAAGATTTCAAACTTGACTTTGAGCAGACGTTTGGGCAAGAGGATACTGAATGGCTACTTGCTATCTTGCACAGAGAGCTAATGGTTGAACAAGATGAAAACGTCTCTTTTGAGAATTTCATTGGTAGTATAATTTGAACTGTATAATCATTGTATAATACCCATGAATAAAATAATTTATTTACCTTAAGCAATGTATAGGTTCCCCTTTTATTTTATGTGAAATATTACATCATGTAGCCAGATAAGTTCTATAATTCTTGCCTGAACGGTTGATTTATATTTCATATATAATCGACTTGTGTTTCCTTGATATCAGCTGCAAGTATTTGAGGCGTTTTTTAATTCTTGCTTATACAGCACCTTTTTACTGATTTCACTTTGTCATTTTGTTATGTGATACCTTTCGATTGAAATTCGTAAATTCATTTTGCCAATAAATGCCTCAGTTGCATAAAGAACAAATGAATCCAGACCGAATGCAACTCTAGGGTAATTGTCTCCTGCTTCAGAGGTATCCCCACGTGTGATTCCAATTTCATGATCGTTGATATATATTTAACACACTTTGTAAATTTTACAAGTCAAACGAGTCTTGCGGTTTTGGAAGATTCTAGAACGCGAAAAAATACATTTCATGTTAGAACGATGGTGTCGGTCAACCAAATAATGATGATGACAAAAAAAATAAAGAAATTTTTGAATTATTTGCTATTATATGATTTATTTTCTTCAGCATTCTGTACAATAGATGAGAAAGTATTGCCCATATGGTCCAGGATCCAAGAACAAGCCAGAGAAAGTTACGCAATGAGAGAAGTTTTTGACATGGATTCTAGTGTAAGAGTTGATGCTATAGAAAATCTTGGTAGGTGTAAAAGTTGATATATATATATTATATATAATATCCAAAATATTATTTCAAAGCTACATGTAATGCCATAGAAAATTGTGGCACAACATCAATACAAAATGTAAAATTACTTAAAATGAAATTTAAATTTTATGAAGCAGTATAATATTTTGTCGTTGATACTCAAAACTCTTAAGAGATTTCTTCAAGTACTTAGTTACGTTGTGTACAAGCTAAGTTCATCTCTTCTTGCAATAATATAAAACATATGACTTCTTTGCATTTCAAACAACTTTTTCTCATTCTTAACGAAATGTCGGTTTGAAAGAATTAATCGTAATTTCTTTTTATAAAAATGACGTAGCTTAAACGTCATGTTCTAGGAAGAACATATCACATTTTATGATAAAAGAAAAGTGTGATGATTAAAGAAAAGTCGCTGATACTGACCATCAAGATCATTCAATTTTTGATTGACACAATACTTTTTCATAAGTTTTTCAACAGACTGTCAGCATTCATATGTAATTAACATTGCTGCTCTCATCGCCGACTTTATACGTATCATGCAGACGTCAAATATGTGCTTCTCACAAAAAATGAAAAAGAGGCTACATTTTCTTTTAAGTCTACGCCTCTATTACAAGTTTATATACTTGAAAAATATGTTTTGGTACTTTGCCTGCAAAATAAAAACGTTAGTGCAATATCACATAGTTACTCATTTCAAAATCATTAATTTTACTAGGAAAATTCAAAAGTCTGACAGTGATTGGTGCGTTGAGAGATTTATTGACAGACAAAGACGCAAACGTACAGGCTGTGGCTATTATCTCCTTAGCTAGAACAGATTCCAAAGACATAGAAACTATCGTAGCTCTACGGAAATGTTTGAAAACGAAAGACAGGGTCGTAAGGGAAGCGGCATGTCTTGCTTTAGGCCATCTTGGTGTAGAAGCTGTTATTGAAGAGCTAGTAAACCTTTGGTAAGCGCTTAAAAGAGAACAAGATTAACCCCGCCACATTCTGTGTGTGTCTGTTCAAAGTCTGCAGCTTGTAAATAATTCAGTGATTGTGGTCGGATGTTGTTTATCATAATTGTTTCTCGTTTATTGTTCATACATAAATCAGACCTTTAGTTTTCTCGTTTGGAATGTTTTACATTTATCATGTCGGGGCCTTTTTTATAGCTTGCTATGCGGTTATGGATTTTGCTCATTGTTGAAGGCCATACGGGGATATATAGTTGTTAACTTCTACGTCATTTGGTCTCTGGTGGAGATTTGTCTCATTGGCAATCATACAACATCTTCTTATCTTTATATTGACATCCTTAAATATTCATATATTTTTTGGGTTTGTTTGTTTGTTTTGCAAGAAAAATCGACCAATAAGCATTCAATTGTTTTTAAACGCGATGTATTTTTCAATTCAAATAAACAGACCTCTCCATCAATTACTTTTTAGTAGCAAAAAGTTTCAGAACGGGTATATGGGTGGATCTTACTGGGTATAGATTGACTTTTAGGACCAATGTATTAACGTCAGTTGGTTTATAATTTCCATTTAAAATTTTGCAATTACACAAATTATAAGTTAAACCTCACAGTTTCATGAATATTTGGAAACCTTTAAGTCTCTTACACATCTTAGTACACAATAGAGAACACGTGTAACAGTATGTTATTATAGCAAAATTCAAAATCAAATTACAAGTATATTTAGTCATTCAGTGGCGGATTCAGGTGTTAAACATATATATAAAATCGTGAAAAATGTTCGACTTGCTAAGGTCGCCAATGTTTTTACCGTTATCTTTAGTATAGTCTCCTTCCCTTCCCTCGAACCCTAGATCCGTTGGTCGTCTTGTTGGTAAAATAGCCTTAAAATGTAGACACGGTAGGTAGAGGCGACATTGATCATCTCCAATTATATGAAAAAAATAACTCAAGACATACAATTTAACATTGCCTGATACTGATAATTTGAAAGTTGCTTTAAGTGATTGTTTTATAACAAGTTGAATCACAATTAGCTATATTTTACATAACTTGCACTCATTTCTCTTTGCGTATTCCAACACAGAACATAAATTGATATTCCAATATGACATTCGACACACGCGGAGATATTTTTTTAATTTTTTTATTTACTTTATGTGTTGTGGCTATAAAGATAGGATTATCCTTGCTTTTGTCACTTCCATTAAAGGAATATATAATAAATCACGACTTATTTATACTGTTTGTCATTGCATTTCTGAACTCGTGGGGACACTTGCAAAAGCATGTTTAGCTCCCTTTCCTACCAAGTTTTCATTTGAACCACTAGGCCTTTTTCGGTCTAATCATCCATATAGTGTTTTGTTTAATTATACGCAAATTCACTTGTTAAATTTTAACAGGCCAAGTGTTTCTAATAAAGACTGGACTTACATTTTCTGATCATTTTTTTGTAGTTGCATGTTAATAGACCATATTGCGATGAGCATATGCTTCGTAATGTCAATTCACATGTTAATAGGGCATATTGCGATGAGCATATGCTTCCTGCTGTCAACCAACATGTTAATAGACCACATTGCGATGATCATATGCTTCGTGATGTCAACCCACATGTTAATAGATCATATTGCGATGATCATGTGCTTCCTAATGTCAACCCACATGTTTATAGGGCACATTGCGATGATCATAAAAAGGCAATTTGACCCCTTCAATAACTACCACTTTTTGAGGAAAAACTATTAAAAATATGTTAAGAGATCCTTTTTTTCAATAATGGATAAACTAAAGTAAATGTGGACTAAACTCTTTTGAGACACCAGCATAGCAACACACGTTAAAAACGGCAAAAAGGGTCATCATAGTACGATCTTCCAACGATCAACAAGTTTTATACATTGGTCTTCCTTTATCAACCACGGTTTTTGCACTTATAAAATGATTATGAATTTTAAAATACTATCATTATCGATGAGAATTAACAATATTCGGATCATTAACGATCTTCTGGAATGCAACATTGTCAGTATTATCCATTAAAATTACAGATTCAAAACATGTTTCTCGACATCTATGGTTAATTGCTAGTAACTGGATTATATTTGTCGCTTAATATTCTATTGTTTCTTTTAAAACGTTGAATGTTTTCACTTTTCTTTTAATGATTGTAGGCGAAACGACATTATTTCCAATGTAAGAGAGGCTGCCCTTGTAGCGTTGAACAAAATTGGAGGACCAAAAGCAAACGAAGCTATCCGAGTTACAGAGGTGCTCGAGAAGGAGATTCGCAGCATGAAATCAGCGTGATTTTGTAGTCTTGTTCCCTACCTTGCGAACAGGATAACTTTAGTGCCTTCATTTCCAGGTCAAGCCTACCAAACAGGTTAAAGGACAGGTAGACCATTCTACACACCTTTCATATTCATATTCTGTAATTTATTTCAATATTAAACATAAATATTATAAGAAAATGTATCAAGTATTTCTTCTCACTTCTTTGTATGTCCCTTTGGGATGACTGTCACTGAAGGCTAGACATAGAATTCATACTTTCGAAGATAGAAGAGCTTTATGATCGATTATTTAAATATGAAAACCTAGATCCAGATCTAAAATTTCCATTTAACAAATGTCAAATTTCGTGATGAGATGATCAGTTTTGCGCTTACTGTAAACTATACATTGTAAGTTTGAAAAATTTGCCTTATAAGGGTCATTAGTCATTCTGTTTATACATTAGTAGTTGAAAAATTTATAGGCTTTTTTTATTTGGTGGATCAACTGTTCATTTTTTTTTACAGAGGATGACCTTGGGGTCATTCCGATGTATTGCTATCGCCTAAATTTCCATTATGCAAATTAGTTTTGGGATTTCAACCGATCTATAAAAATTATAGATCCGCGGTCATTACAAGGGAAAAAAGTGCATTTTTATACCTGCGATTCCGTTCTCCGTTCGTACGATGTTTCATCAAAAAATGGAATCATTTCAGTTGTTGATTTAGTACTGAAAATTTGACTGAATTATCTCCTTATTAAATACGGTTTTATATGTTTAATAGGTGTTTAAGAAAGAGGTCAGGTGCTCATGTTCATTCATAAAATTATCGTTCATTCATGAATTTATCGTAAAATCAAAATCACTACACAGGTCACACAGGTTGTATACGTAGTGTCAAATGATTACCTGTATAGTATCTAAAAATAGACAAACTTAACTGACTCCCCTTACTGTAGTGTGTGATAACATTTTGTGAGGGAATTCGATGTTTGCTATACCACTGTTCATTTCAACGCACTTTATGACGATACCACTTTATCAATATGAATGAAATTTTTTGCAGTGTTTTAAGAAATAATTTTACTTTAAAATCGCGTATCATTTGTGAACTATTAAATGTTTTACAAGGACGAATTTTCTGTATAAAGTCAATAATTGTGTGAACTTTTGAAGCCCAAACTTTTTATAGCCTTAAATACGCTAATGAAAGATCCGAAAACTATACCCATACAGAACGACATGTTTTTGAAATTGTAGCAAAACTTTTGGTTGACAAATTTTAATTCGTTATTGCATAAATATTAACTTGAAATATCTGTCATTTTCTCCCTACCCAGTTTACCTCTATTACTCATTATGATGTGGACTTGACATTGTTATTGAATCTTATGCAATTTGATTGGATTAAGTTATTATTAGATTACCTTCAAACTGTTCATGCGTTTTCGTACGAGTATATTGATTAAATCAGAGCGTGCATGAATGTGTACAGAAAATTAAATGACCTGCAAACTGGACACTGGACCAGTCCATATTATGTTTTATCAATGAATAGATTTTTTTTTTATTTCCCAAATTACAGGGCCTATAAAGGGCGTAAAATCAGATACAATTGATTTACATTAATGGTAACAACAACAATAATAGCGGCATATAAATAGATATTTAGTATATAAGCATTGGTCAGAATCAGATGAATGAAACTTAAGGTATGAAAGGTAACAATTGCCACTTTTTATCTTTTCACATAATTTTCCACATACACATTAGATAAATTATTTTTGATAGCCTATTGCGGAGAAAAAAGAGAAAGTTTACTGTATTAACGTTCTATTCCATTAAATACGCCATTTTTCGAAGATAAATGCAGAATAACATTTATGCACGGCTACGCCAGGTAAAATTGTTGTTTATCCTAAAAAAAAATACAATTTTCAGTTTCATTAGAATATTATAATAATAATAAATCCCAAATTTATGTAGTCATTAGATAAAGTCCTTATATGTCCGATCTGCCTATTTTTGGACATCAAAAGACAATACGATCGTTTTAAGGTCAATTTCGTCTACCTCACACAATCTTGTTAGGCACTATAATGAAATGGACCTGAAATTTATTTCACATGTTTCCTGAAAATTGATAAATATCAAAGCAACATAGAGCTGTTTGTTCTAGTTCGTATAATGACAATTTAATGTCATGTTTGTTTGTGATGACCCCCCTTTTCGGGATTGCATCAGAATTATAGTTATCTCGTATCGCATGAGGATGACACAAGTCAACTGAGCAATTATGTTTGGGACTTAGTTTTAAGAAATGACGTCAAAGTAACATTATGAAAATATTTTTAGTAAGCTGAAATATATATTTATTTTTTACATGTTTATGTCTTGTAAGATATTTTATTTCTGTCCCGTTTTTCAACCTTTGCGTCTGGAAAGTTGAAATGTTTTAACTGAATGGTTAATTTAAATTAATTATGAAAATGGTTAAAATTAAATCAATAAAGGAAATTATTGCCCAGTTACAAACACTACCAGGGGTTAATCCATAATGATTTTTTTTAGTTATATGTTTCAGCACATGTATAATTAACCCCAACTTTAGCCTGGTAAACTTGTTGTCTCCTTGTGAAATATAAAACATATTTAAAATGATTTCCTGTTAAAGTCTTATATTGATATAAAGTTAAAACCGTCTTGCTTCTCACTAGTCAACACTCCTGTCCTGTCAGGTTTAATTCTTATATATATGGATGAAAAATAAAAGTCCACAAAACATTAACATGGCAGCAATTGCTTTTACAGCCTTTAAGACTTTGATTTTTTTTACAGAAGAGTGTCCACCATGCACTTGCATTACACTATAATAATAGTAGAATAGTATGATATACAAATAGATGAAAATTATATATATATGCAACCGTAATATTAATATAATATATAACAACAAACCAGTGTATTCTCTGGAACTATTACTATATTAGTATAATAGTCTAAGGTATACTGATTTGTATCACTACAATATAATAGTTATTACGGTGAGGTTGAATTTCCTGTCATTTATTCATCATCCAAGCACGAACTTGTATAAGAAAAAAAAATCTCTGTAAATTAACCTCAGTTTCAGGTATAGAGATGTGATCTGTTTCTGTGACATGTGCTTTTGACCATCCACAAGAACCTGCGGTCATCCGATGTTCAGTACTTCAGTACTTTGATTGTATTTCGTCTATTAGATTGTTGTGCATATGATATAGGTAAACCTTTTGTAAAAAAGAACTGATTGAATAACAGATCTGCGATACATGTTTCTTTAAGGGTTAAATCTATAAATATCACTGGGCAGAGTTGACATCTACGAAGCACGCTAGAAACATGTATTGTGTTATTCCTTTGAACTTTCTTTCATTGACACGAATATACGGAATTTTTAATGAAATATTATGGGAGCCATAATAGCAAAGGCGCAATGAAACCCGTAATTTGAGGACAAACAGATACATTTGTAACACCTTTTCCAAATGAAAACAGACGAACAACATTCCACACAACACTATAATACTGAACCCTGAAGATTGTGCATTGAGATGAGATTATAACATAGGACCATTTCAGTATTACCGCATAAATGCGAAATTCTGTGAAATAAACAAAAACACAGGCAGTATCCTTCCAGGCAAAGTTTTTGACTATTAGGAAATTTCCTTTTGTATTGATGTATTTTTCATACTCCATTCGTTGTGTCAATCTTATAATGTTATATGTCCACTTTTGCTAAAAATTGATATAGCTATATATTTGATAACCAAGTGCAATGGTCTTCCCTATACAACTATAATACGAGATGTCTACAGTCTACGAGTTTCTAGCAGAACTACACAATCGTGCAGTTATATCTCCACACTCCCATTGGATTATAATAGCTTATTCATCTTATTAGTTCAGAAAAAAATATTTCTATAGTGTTGTATCCACTATTTTTCAGGTAATTATGCTGTAAAAAATAATTGTTATCAAAATTATCGTATATGCTTAAATGGTTTGCATGGTTTGAACTCAATTTATGAGCAATTCCTGGCAAATCCAGCAGTCCAGTATTGGGGATATTACACAGTTAAAAAATCCATGCATGGTGTATCTCCAATAGAAATATAGGGATAAATTTATAAAACAACATTATTTATAGTGAACTGTTCTATCTCCAGAAAAGGGAATGCTTTATTTATCTAATTTGCTTGTTTATTAAAAAAAACAATCGAACAAAGAGTTACTCTTCGTGTACGCAAATTGAATTCCTTTACAACTTTTTATGTCTCAAATCATGATTCATGAGATTGATCTTTTAAACTTTATATTCAATTTCCCAACAGTTAGAATCAAAGTACTGAAGTACTGAACATCGGATGACCACAAGTTCTTGAGGATGGTCAAAAGCACTTGTCTCAGAAAAAAACAACATATCTCTTTACCTGAAACTGAGGTTAATGTACAGAGATATATTTTTTTCTGAGACAAGTTCGTGCGTGGATGATGAATAAATGACAGGAAATCCAACTTCACCGTAATAACTATTATATTGTAGTGATACAAATCAGTATACATGGTGGACACTTTTCTGTAAAAATTCGATTTTTCTAAGATTGGATACGAGTAGGCATTCATATTTTCCCGCAAAAACAATTACAGAGTTACCGGTCCTCGCAAAAAGTTCTCTGAGATATTCTTCCGCATGCTTTAACACAATTTTTCGGTACGTCTGCATTGATATTATCAATGATTTTTTACTTATATATCTATATCTAACTACAAAACATTTTCATATTATTAATTTATGTTGTAAACAAAAATATTTTTATCAGTATTCATTGAAGAGATGTATTTATATCAAACGATAAGGAATGTTATTTTGCATTCGTTTATGTGCGCATATTTATCATGTTTATAGATCGGTTACAAACCCAAAACTAATTTACATAATGGAAATCTAGGCGATAGCAATACATCTGAATGACCCCAAGGTCATCGCGATGTAAAAAATGGAGAATACATCATTACAAGATTCGCACGACGCAATGTCAAGTGACTATCTTTCGTACGTATCGGGGTAATAGTGGATGGAATTGTTATCTGTAATACATACACTCAAAGGACGATCATGTCAACACTACAAGTCTTCATTATATTGTAAGGT